CATTTATATGTGCTAATATTCTTCTGAGGAAGGCCAGAGACTTTTCATGAATTCTCATCAAATCCTGAACAATGCTTTGAGGTAGGTTACTACCAAGATTTCCATTTAACAGGTGAGAAAAGAAGATGATTCAGCCAACTCCCAGCTTTTAAAATAATTATTTTCATTTTATATGTTTCCTATTTGGAATTTCAAATTATTTCCCCTAAATTCCCCACTTATTAAAAATGAAGTGGTGAGAATCCAGTGACTTGCTTACTGTGAGCTTGAGAACTTTGGATTCATTCTCTTAATTACACACACCCTCTTTTATGGTGACTATATGGGTGCTTCTTATATTAATCTCTATATTTTCAATTAAACATATTTTTTTCCCAAAAAAATGAAGCACTAAAGTACTGAAGTATCCTGTTATGGCAAGATAAAAAGGTCTATGCACTCATTAATCCCAAATTATTGACCAGATACCATTTAAGATAATTGAAGGCCTTGTGTAAAGATTCAGAGACTGGGACCCAGGAGACATGTGTTAAAGTTTTGAGTCTTGAACTAATTAGCTGCATGACCCTGGGTAAGCAAATTCCTCCTTAGTTTTATAAAGTATAGTTGATATTTTCTTTTTCTTTTTTTTTTTTAAAGAATTTTTTTAGTGGGGAATCAGGGGAGGGGAACAGACAAGTTGCTGTCCTTTTGTTCTTCAGCCTAGTTGTGGAGGACGTCACTTCACTGGACCATGTTGGTATTATCATTGCGCTCTTCCCAGGTGAGGCAGATCAGTCACCAGCCACTGGACAGCTGCTCACAGCAGCTCTTGGCAGCTCACACTGCTGCCTGTCTTTCACGCAGGCTGCCAGCCACTCATGGTAGCTTATGGCAGCCCACTGCAGCTTTACTGCAGCTACACCGTAGCTGGCGACTCAAGGCAGCCCAGCTCCAGGTCGAGCTGTTGTTCACCATCTTAGCTGTAGAGGGCACAGCGTCACTGGCCCTCATGTGAGATCTGAACTAGGTAGGGCCCTGCTGCTCAGAGCTGGCGTCCCAAGCCAACTGTTAATCAACGCGCCACTCGGCTGGCCCCTAACACTATTTTTTTTAGCTGAGCCATCCTGCCACCTGTTGGCAGCTCGGCCGGACACCGAACTGCTGTTGCTCAGAGCTCACACTCTTGAGCGAGCTCTTAACTAACTGAGCCACTTGGCCAGCCTGACATTTTCTTACTTAATTCTTATAATATCTCTGGGAGGCTGGTATTATTACTTATTTAATAGGTGAGGAAATTGGAGCTCAAGAAGTGAATGTACTTGCCCAAGGTCACACCAGATAGTAAGTAGTGGGGCTAGACCTAGAGGCCAAGTATAACCCCAAGGCCTTGGGCTTCCAGCTCTGCCTACTGTTCCCTAAATGTCCCAGTATCTATGTCATCTACACAGAGACTAGCACTTAATTTTTTAAAATAAATTTTTGCTTCCTCCTGGAAGCTGGGGACCTGAAAGTCCCTCTCTGTGCTTATAGTTGCCCTGAGGTTGAACAAGTCAGAGGAGACCAGAGCAGCTTTCAAACCCAAGACCTTGGGTGGAGTGGGGGTAGAGGGATGTGGTCCAGGCCATCAAGGTGAGGGCAGAGGGGAAGGGATCTGATCCTCACTGCCCATTCAGAAACTCTTCATTTACTGTGAATAGTGAGAGGAATCCTATTAAAGGGCTTTTGGTAGCAACAGAGGAAGACAGAGAGCAGAAACTGTTCTTTGGGAGGTAGCGAGTTTGTAGAGATTGAGCCCATTTCAGTCCCATAGATTAGAGGGGATCTTGGCTTTGGTGTTTGTTAGGCCTGGTTTTAAAATCTTGGCTCTGCTATTTACTGGCTGTGTGAAATTTGGTCCATGATGTCCTTCCCCTCATCCAGTGAGTCTCTACTCCCTCACATCTGAAAAGGGGATATTAATTCCTACTGCAGTGGGTTACAACGAGAACTAACTAATGGGATGTGATACACACTTAACAAGGTGCCTGCACCAACTGTAATTTAATAAAACTTCTTTCCCCCCCCCTTTCTTTGTTACTTTCCCTGTCATCTGGGCCTTGGAGTGAGTGTGCAGTCTCACTTTGTGACACTCTTGGGACACCTCAGCTACTTCCTGCTCCATGTCCCTCAGGCCCCCAGCTTTGATCCTGCTGTCCACTTGCCCCTTAGCTCTCCCAGAGAACAGAGAAGGGAGAAAAAATAATCAAAGCCCCAAACTTTGGCTTTTTGCCTCAGAGGGCAGAACGCTTGCTGCCCTTCTGCTCAGACCTTCCTCCTGATTCTCCCCTCCTTTTTGTCCAGTTCCCTGCTATGAACACTGACTCACAGATGAAAGAACACCCCAGCAGGGTATCCTTATCCTTGGATAGCTTCAAGGTCCGGAACTCTAGAAATTGTAGGGAAACCTTTGTATGTAATTGCATTTTTCTGGAAATAGAATCCTGAGGGATCCCTCACCTCTCTGGATAGATTTGAGTTGGAAGAGGGGCTCTGTGGGGTTTCCCCTGTGTGACTAGAACTTCCCTTAGAACTTGAGAGCAACTTGCAATTTCAGTGTTCAAGTCTGGTCCCAACCATACAAGGATTGAACTGGTGATGAAGGCCCACCTCTTCCCTGAGGGAGGGAATTCCTAGAGGAAGGAGATCTTTTGTTCAAACACTACAGAACATTTGTAGTCTTTCTATTCTGTTCACTCACTCACTCCATCAATCAGCATTTACTGTATATCCACGGTGTGCCTGGCTTTGCATTAAGTACATAATATTGGACATACAAACATCAGACAAGTGTTCTTCAAAATGTGATCCTACAAACCAGCCTCACTAATCTTCTGGGTACTTGTTAAAAATATCAGTCCCTGGACCTCAACCACTAAGGGTATTGCTTGGGACTATGCATTTCAAACAGGCTCCTTGGGCACATCAAATTAGTTGAAAGCCACTATTGGAGAGTGGCATCTCTCACAGTCCTTGGCACTGGTATGCATGAAGTGCCTGCATTATAGTTGCATTCAAAGAGTGTTGGTTAGCCTGAGAATATGGTCCTGACCCTCTCATAGGAGATGGTAGCCCCATCTATCCCACTTCCCTGCATTGCTCCTGCCCTCCTCACATGCTGGGCCCTGTGAGAGTGAAGAAGGGGAGGAGCTGCCTGTCTATTGCTCTGGGGTGCAGTCTTGGGCAGATTGTAAACCCTAAGGGCAGAGACACTGTTTTAGCCTGCACTGCTCCATCCTGACTGGGCAAAGATCTGATAGTACCAATTAACGTCAACTAGACTCCCTCACTGCCTGGGCCTGTCCTGAGGCTTTCCTAATTAATATCTCTATGGTCTCTTAGGTCTCTGGAAAAAAGAGGCTTGGGGAGACATGGGTAACAATATTGTTATCCAAAAGGACCTTTCTACCCATGATGAGCATGAGGAGATTGAGGCTGGAATTGGTAGTCACATGGGAAATAAAATCTAAAGCAATAATAGCTAACATTTCTTGAGCACTCACTACATAGCAGGCTCTGGCCCAAATGCTTTGCATACAGCATCTTACTTAATAGCCACTTGTACTCCAGGAGATAGGAACTCTGACTTCCCCACTTTACAGAGAGGCACAGTATTCTGTCCAAGGTCACACACAGCTAGTGTGGCAGAACTAGGGCCATACTCAAGCCACCTGACCCCACAGTCTGAGTACTCATGCTCTCCAGGGCCTTCTGCACTCACACAGCCCAGGGGCTCCACCCCAGCCATGGTCTCTTGCCTAGGGCCAGGTGTTCACTCTATAGTGGGTTCCACAGAGGAGCTGGCCAAGGGAGGTGTCCATGCTGCTGCAGACCTTGGCTCCCTCTCCCAGCTGTGCTTTTGGACCTGACCATGGACTTCCTGTTCCTGGGAAGCATGAGGCAACAGGAAAATGGGGTAAGGCAGGGACAGGACCTTCTCTTGTCCAGGGTCAATAGCCTCTAGGAGAATCTACACCATGTGCCCTTCTGGACAGTGCTGGCCTCTCTCTCTACAGCTATTGGGAAGATGACTCCCACCTCCCAGGAAGGCATGGAGGAGGGTGAAGCTGGCTGGGACATTGTGCATGCATGGCCAAGGTCTTGCCACTAGGAGTCTGTCTTCAGCATGATTGTGGGGCAACTTTGAGCCAACTTCAGATTTCTAGGTCTTTGGCCATTTTATGGTATCAGTCAGCCTCCCTGAAACTTCTGGCTTGCTTAAAGATGATCAAATGCCATTGCTCCAAAATGGTAGTATAACATGGACAGTGGAGTCAGACAACCTTAAGTCTGAATGAGCTCTGCCAGTTTCTACAAGAGCTATGTGACGTTGCACAAATGACTGAACCTTTAAAATTTAGAGCCTCAGTTCTTCGTCAGTAAAATGGATTAATAACTCCTATCTCATCTGGTTGATGTGATAATTAGATGAATTACTGTGTTCAATGCCCTGGAACCCATGCTACACCTCTGTCTCTTGTTCAGGGCCAGGCATTTGCCTCCACAGTTGGGCCTGTAGCAGAGGTGCTGGGCAGAGGGGAAAACCCACATAACTGGAAGCCTTGGCTGCATAGTAAGAGAGGTACCTAATACAAATGGTAGCAGTTTCCCCATAGGTGCTTGAGCCGTTGGCAACACCACCTCATATTTATTAACTAGAGACAATGGAGGCCAATTTGGGGTGAGAGTTTTAGGCCCTAATCAGAGGACACTGAAATCCAGAAATGATTCCAGGGCGTCTCTGGTGCTCCTACTGGGAGTTGTGCTTTCCCAGCTCCCCTCCTCCCTCTAGGCCTGCCTCCAGCGCCCCTCCCTCCCTTCCCCGCCTACTGACCACATCTGGATTTAACTAGAGAACGACGGGCGGGCGGTCTGTGAATGCCTCCACCTTCCTCTGCCCTGGGTCCTCCCATTCAGAACTTTGGTTTTCACAGGGGTGCATGAGGGAGAAGGAAAGCTGAGAGATCTTTGTGCACCCATACAGCCTCACCCAGCTCCCCATTGTCCCCATTCTTAATATTCCCTTTTGCCTCAATTCTTCTTGTTCCTGTTGCTCGGGATCCTTCCTAGTCAGAGCTGGGCCAGCTGTCTCCAGGCATAAGGAGGACGCTGAAGTTTTCCAATCCCTACCCCAGTCGCAGGCCAGGAAGCAGGGCCTCTCCTCCCTGCTGGAGAGAAGTCCTGCTGGGCTGCTGGAGGCCAGGCAGTACATTGGAATGCAGCAGTCACAGTTGAAGGCAGCTGTAACTCTCATAGAGTGACATCAACCCCGCTGCAGGAGGATGCTGTAAATCCAGGGAAAGGGGGCCATTCATCTAGGGAGAACTGCAGAAGCAAAGAAAAAAAAAACATAAATAAAGGAGACATGGTGTCTGGAAATAAGGAGGCTGTGCTTAACTGGAGGTGGGAGGGACTCTAGGTCTGAGGAGAGGGCAGGAGTCCTGAGGCAGGCCCTCAGCCTAGTGAAGAGTAAGGACACGGCCAAAATCCCACCCCTCCCACCCCACCACTTGATTCTCCGCCCTTTCTGCATATTCTTGGCTGGTGCTGGGAGCAGAGCTGGGGTGTGTCCCTGGGGGAATTGTTGGGGACATATCTGTCCATGGGCTTTCCCAAGGACAAGAGGAGCTGTTGACACTGGCCATGAGAAATCAGCTGTGGGTCGAACTCTGGGCTTATAGCTGGCCACCTGGATTCAAACCCTGACTCTGCTACTTGCTTGCAAGCTGTGACCTTGGGAGAGTGTCTTCACCTTTGGAAGCCTCCATCAGAAAAAGGAAACAATCACCCCTACCACACTGGCGTGGTGTAGATAAACACGTGACAGTGTCTGGCAGTCTATAGGGGTTTTTTGTCGAATGACTAAATGAATCAACAAACTTCTGTAACCCCAGAAGCTGGGACTTTTTATTCAGATCAATTCCCTTCTGCCTGAGTCTAAGTTCAGCTATTAATTTTCTGAGAGACTTTTGGCATGTGACTTAACTTTCCAGGGCTTTGATTTTTTTCTTGGGAAATGAAGCGTTTGTTTATAGGAGGCTGACTCTGAGGTGGATGGTGCTACATACAGTAGAAGCACTACCCCTTTGCCTTGCGGTCTGTGGAGTGGCCTGGGCCTCTAGGTCCCTATGAACTTTGGGCTGCATTCCAGAACCTCCCGCCTGGGGTCCTTCTGGACTCCCTCCTTACCCCTTAACCAGGAGCCTTGGACACTCTACTTGAATGCCACACCGACTTTTCCTCTCTAGACCTGGCGGCAGTGAGGCTAGCGGCTGGCCTGTTCTGAGGAAGGGTCAAGGCCAGTCATGCTCTCCTGAAGGCTGAATGAAGGAGAATGCCTGCAAGCTCTCTTTAGTGTGCCTCAGAGTCAACCAGAAGACCTGTTAAATTGCAGATGGTGAGGTCCCCACAACCAGAGCTGTGTTTCAGCAGGTTTGAAGTGGAACATGAGAATTTGCATTTTAACAAGTTCTCAGGGGTTGCTGCTGCTGCTGGCTAGAGCAGTCTTGCCAGAATTCAGGCTTCCTTTCTCTATTTCAGACCTGCAGCTGAAGCAAATGGGTGGCTTAGGCAGGCTACAAGATGCTGGTGTGCAGACTTCCAAGTCACCTAGGACCCTCAGAGGCCAACATTTACAGTTGTACAAAGAACCAGTATGGGAACCTTAGTGGAATGCCAGTTCTGTACCTTTAACAAGTTCCTCAGCCATAGAGAGCACTGATATTGGAAATTCAATTTCCTTTGCAGGCTCTTCCTCTCCTTCCCATCAAAAAGACTTAGAGAAAAGGGGGGTGAGATGAAAAAAAAATTAATTTGGGTGAAATAGTCTAGGCAGAGTCCAGCAAAATCAGTTGAAAAGAAAATCAATATAACCAGGCTTCGAAACACCCAGAAATGATGCCCAAAACTGGGCTTGAAGGAGAAAATATGACTGGTTTCTGTGGAAGGCTGGATAAACACAGTGTGGGTAGAGGCAGCCCTGCTAATTTAAAAAATGCTTCAGGGCACATATCACTGCCTGGCAGGAAGGCTAATGATGGATGAATGTAGCAGCTGAGACTTCCTAAGGGTTAGGAGCAGGGTTGGTGGTAAGGAGCGGGCCATGAGGGCCACCTGCTTCACCACCAGGACATGGTTAAGCAACAAAGGAGGCACTGTAGTGCACTGCACCTGCCATCTCCTGTCTGGGTACCCCAACACTGTTCTTCCACCTCTTGGAAAACTAGGCCTGAGCCCATCGCCCCTCAAAAGATAGCGTCCAAGGGCTTAGACACCTGCTGCCTGCACACTCAAGCCCCTTCCAGCCCTGTAAGCAGCAGCTTTTTCACCAGGCTTTGGGTGGGCCATGGCTATGGTGACCCATTTTTTTCACCTCACAAAGGACACACAACCTGATAGGGAGGAGTGAACTTATGGGGCATAAGAAAGAATGACTGGTATTAGGAGCAACTGCATTTATACCATGTAATAACAGTGCTGCAGGATTCAGAACACTGCACAGTTTTTATTGTGGCATTTATGCTCCCTGCAACCCCTGCCACACAGCTAAGTAAGAGTCTGGGCCCTAATAGCAATGGCAGGTTTCTCATTTTCAGACGGCCTCTCGACTACAGTCAGTACCCGACTCATGATGGTTTAACTTACAAAGTTTTGACTTGGCGATGGTGCAAAAGCGATACGAGTTCAGTAGAAACTTTACTTTGAATTTTGAATTTTGCTCTTTTCCTGTCCTATTGATATGGAGTATGATACTCTTTCATGATGCTGGGCAGTGGCAGTGAGCGGCAGTCCCAGTCAGCCACTGGATCACGAGTGTGAACACCAATACTCTACGGTGTACTGTGCTGCCAGTATTGTTTGGATATTGTGTTTTCACATCCCATTATGTCTACAAATCTGTGTCTCCTGCTTCAGGTGAGAAGAGGAAGGCAATTACTGTTGAGATGAAACTCAAGATAATTGCCCAATTGTAGGCTCATGTAAGTGTTCTGAGCACATTTAAGGTAGGCTAGGCTAAGCAATGATGTTTAGTAGGTGAGATGTATTAAATGCATTTTCAACGTGTGATTTTTTCAACACCCAATGGGTTTATCAGGACATAACCCCGTCGTAAGCTGAAGAGCATGTGTAGAGTGAATTTAACTCATTTCTTGGAAACTGGTATTAGGTTTGGGGTAGGAGAGAGGTGAGAGATTGCAGTAGTAGGTGCTGGGGTGCATAGCACAGAACCCTGTTCACGCTGGAGACGCTCACTGCCCAGCTGCCCAGAGGTTGGCTGGGAAAGCTCACTGTGCTGTCCCTGCAGAATTGCCCTCAGCTGGAGAGAGCTGCATTGCCCAAAGTCATGCCCCCTCCTGAGGTGGGGGGATAGCGTGCATCCAGTGACAGGTCGATGTGGGGTACAAGGACTGGCCCCCTCGCCTCAGTGTGGGACATCTCTGCAGGGCCACTCCAGAACTCCCATGGGGTTGGCTGAGGCCTTGGTTGCCACTGCATCAAAGTCCAACTTCTCTTTCTACCCAATCCTGCTTCCTTGACTCTCCCCACAGAGCACCCCAATAAGGGCATATAAATCGCTTAGAGCCTGTTTCCTAGGATCTTAAGACCGAAGAAGAAAGGAGCTAACATCAACAGGATGCTTTTTTTAAGACTCATTTAATACAATAAATCTATGAAATAAATATTTTTGTTATTTTATTATAGAGGGAAAATTTTAAAAGTTCTCAAGACCAAATAGTTAGTATCTGGCAAAGCTGGGACTCTAGTCCAGGTCCATGTTGACTTTTAGAGAGTTCTGCCCACTGTACAGAATGTGGAGGAGCCCCTGCGGGGTCTACAGTGGAAAAAGAGCTGGCTGGCCAAAGATCGGCCTATCGTGTGTGCAAGTAGAAATGTAAACATCCACAAGGAGGGTGCAAATGCAGGGGGAAGCAAGAACAGGAGAGCAGCAGCCCCGTGTGGCGATCTCTGATGGCCAAGGGGGCAGTAGGAAGCTCTAGTGGAAGAAGACCTCAGGCTGACCATAGGTCCCAGAGCCGGAGCCGCAAACATTGCCAGTCCCTGCCAGAGGCAGACACATTGACAAGCCCTGTACCCTCTCCCCACAGGAGAGGTGGGGGACTGCTGGCTTTGCATTTTCCCAGGGCACACAAAATGGGGTCACCCTTGCTCAAGCTGGTTGGCAAAACCCAGGCCCAATCCTTTTCCAGTGAAGGGCAAGTGGCTCAGACTTCTCTTGCTATGTGATACTCCAGCTGGTCACTGCACAGCTGAAGATTTCCCCCTGCCTGGATTCTAGAATAGATCTAGGTGTAGTCAAGAAAGAGAGGGGAGCTAAAGGTCAGCAGCTTGGTGCTGCAGAATCTGATACATTTTCCATCAGGACCCAACTCTTCAGCATTCTGGAGACAACAATGGAAAAAGGACCCTTTCTAAATTTCTGTCTCTTGAGGCTCATACCTGTTCTAGAGGGGAGCCTAACATTAGAACCATCCCCCACAGGGGCAATATACCTGGAATTGCATCTGGGAAGCAAGGCAGGCACCTTAATTCTGGTGAGTTGTCTTAGCACTAATTGGCAGGTCCTATCAAACTTTGGCATCAATTCAGAAAGTGCTGATTTGGGCCCGTCCTGTGGCCTGAAGATTCTGAACACATATTTACAGTTCATATAAGTAGAAACAAAAATAACTCTTTTATCTTCTCCTATTAACCAGGTCCTTCTGCTGTGAACATGAGCTGTAGACAACGCAACCTTCCCCAGGTAGTTGGGACTCTCAGGGTTAGGAGGCAGGTGTCTGGAAGTAACACATACTGAATGTACCCTGTGGAATTAGAATCTCTTGTTCCTTAAAATGCTCAACTGACCAGTATGTGCAGAAACTCCCTTTGCCTCAGTAACTTAGATGAGTGCATTGAAATGAAATGGCAAACTGGGTCAGGACCTGGGTGTGGGGCTTGTATGCTGGTTCAGGCTTCCCTCAGGAAGGAGCTGCAGCAGGCCCTTCTCTGCCACTGCACCTTGGTTTCCCTACCTGGCAGGGAATGTTCTTTCAGTCATCATAGGAGGTATATCTGTGACTGTTGTCTTTTTCTTTCTTTTCTAGATCTTTGTGAAAAAAATCCTGTGGTTCCATTTGTTTTCTCTGAGCTGGTTTGTTAGTGGAGGTGTTTGCATGCTGAGCAACACACACTTATATTTTCCTCCTTTGCAAAACATTAATTATCCTACCCACTAACCTTTCTCTCAGGCATTTTTTCCTCCACCACCCCCTAAGATGTTGGGCACCAAGCAATTTCTGTATTTTCCCATCATCTCAGCAAGC